ACTTTTGTGAGAAATCTCTTCCAATTAATCCTATTTGTGAATTGATCATCTTTTCTTCGATTCTTAAGTGCAAAGAACGTTAGGCTGTCTTTTGTATCTCAAATAGTATTTCCGATTAAACCCAAGCACTATTGTGGGGGAAATTAAACTCTTTAGGAAAGTGTTTACACGCCTAAGACAGTGTATCAAGGAATTAGACTCAAGTGGTCACCGGTTTTCTCATGTTCATGTTGGTTGTTAAGGCTTGGAGTAGAGGCAATTATATTATCTTTCACAACTAGTGGTTTCATTGTGTTTTTCTGTAATACTTTGATAAATTGGTGTTTGGTTGTAATACATTGAATTGTATTTGGATTATTGTATAATTCATTATTAATTATAAATAGTTAGGTTTTGTTCCCACAATTGTTAAAGTAGTTCTTGTTATTGAATTACTTGAAAACCTAACAAACATATCGTGTGTACTTATTTGGATAAGGTAATAGTACTTAGATTGTGAAATTTCCTGTAAAATTTGACTAGAAATGCTTATTATTTAATATATTAATATTTACGCAATTGGTTTAGGTGTTTGCAAAACGAAATTAATAACATCGAAGTTCAGGACACCATTGGATTATCTATATGTCCCAAAAGGGTAGGAATGGTTAAATCTCGTCCTTCCTCACTAACAAGTTATTTAAACTATTTAATGACCAAGCAATGTACGAAACAATATATACTTGCCCCTTTCTATCAAGAGTAAGCACACACAACTCATAATTAATCTCATTACTTTTTTAACCTCTTTTTTTTTATTTATTGGTTTATCTAATTTTTTTTTTCTTACTGTTGTTTGTTCATAAGTCGTCATTGGATGCTGATTAGAGAATTTTCCCCCACCCAATCACTGTCTGCCATGTGGACCAATCAGGTCCTGCCATGTGTCATCCACATGGACCAACAAGGACTCGACACGTGTCAAGCAGCAATCATTCCAGCATGGACCTATCGCGCCACGCCACGTGGCCAGCTGTCTGCCCACCAGGAAAACGACCACCAAGCCCCGGTTTCCGAGAAAAGGCCTAATCAGCCCTAGATTGACCTAAACCTAATATTGAGCGCGCATCCCGAGGCTATAAATACAGTAATTAAGCCTCCATTTAAGACTATTCAGAATTAATTACTCTCACCAAGAGAAGCCTAAACACACGTGCTTTCTGATTGCTAGACCTGACTTAGCAATTAATTGCACTTCCTGATCACTCCTCCCCAAGAGGAACCAGATCACCCTTTACTTTTCGCACCTTTTTTAACTCCACATACAAGTACTAACTTGATCGTCAAAGGCGGAGCTCCCACCACCCGGAGTCTCCGTTTTATTGCAGGTACAGGCGCACGGATCCAGTCCCGGAATTGTAATTCTCCCGTAGGATTTCAAAAAACCCCGAAACAGATGCCAGTTGTGATTTTCCCCCAAAAAGGAGAAGCTTTTTTCTTCAATTCTTTGGTAGATTGGTCGTCAGATAGTGTGCATCTCAAAGGAGCGTTGTCCGTATAAGTATCACAGTTTAATCTTTTTTGTTACTTGTTGATCATATGGGTGCTGGTGGTGATAAGATGAACTGATAGAGGTTATAAGTGATGGTTTTCATGGTGTTTGAGAAGAGTTGGTTGTATATTGTAATGTTGCAGATGTTATATGCTGGAAGTATTGGTGGTTTTAGATGCTTTTAATAATGGCATAGTGCCGCATAGGTCAATTTTATGGAGAGATGCACCCGATTTTTTTGTAGGTTTAATTAGTATTTTATGTCCATATGTAATGCATTCATATCAAATTTGTGTACAGGGCATATAGAACGTTAATGAATATCTACAAAGGATCTCGGAAAACAAAGCTAATTCATGGAATGTCATTAAGGTAGATGTTGTTGGTTTACATTATATTACAACGGTGATTTAAGCTTTATGTGTGTATTGACATTACTAGAAAAAAACTTATTATTTGCGTTTCAGTGTTCTCAACAAACAGGCGGAGTTGATTGTTGCTATTATGTCATGAAGTATATGGATCAAAATGTCTCACTTATATTACAAAAAGTGAACGATTGGGAAATGGTATTCAATAAATATTATTTTTATATAATTAGCGATTGCTTATGTTACATGAATGTATGTATTACTAATACATCTATTATTGTGTATGTAGCATTTCTCTCTTGAGCCATTCACTAAGGAGGTGATCGATGATATTCGTGAAAGATGGTGTAGATTTTTTTATGATAAATGTTTGTAATTTAATAAGAATGAAACTAGTACTCAAAAGTTCGCGGAAAAACTTATTTCAATTTTTTTTTTCATTTTTATAGCACAGAGAATTTTCATGTATGTACTTATTTTATTAGAAAATTTTCAATTATTAATATATTTTAGTTAATTTGGTCTTTATTAGTTTAAATTAATAAAATATCGTTATTTTTTATTATTCATTTGTATAATTATAAATGAATTTTAATATTATGCATGTTTAGGATAGCTGCACGTAGTAGCCTACATTACATTATACACATCACCTCTAATAAATAGGTGACTCATTAATTTTACCATATGCATCGCCTTTACTAAATAAGTGACACATAATTTTTATTATATGCATAGCATTTTTGTAAATAAATTAATTATAAAATAGACCTTACGCGTCGCCTTTAAAGTAATATGAGACTCGAAAACTATATATTTCACGTTGCATCTAAAGAAACAAGTGACTCATAAACTATATTATAGCGACTCTTATACCTTATTTTATGCATCGCCTATAATCAACCAGGCGACTCATAAACTATCCTAACGCGTCAGGTCATAGGCGACACGTAGGGGGGTACCTATTGTGTCGGTGCTTGTACTGTCGCCCTTGAAGCGACGTGTAAGATGGTTTAGAGGCGACTCGATAGGTGTTTTTGTAGTAGTGGTAACACATGTCGTCACCATGTTATCCCTTTGCGTTTTAATAATATTATACATTATTTTGCATATATATCTTAGGATATTATTCTAGTTCTAATTTTGAAAACATAATAATATACTCCCTCCGATTTTTTTTAATTGCAACTTTTGCTATTTTAGTCCGATCAAAATTAAATGCAACTTTCTATTTTATTTCTATTTTGGGTAAACAAAAACCTTCAAAATTACTATTTTACCCGCTACTTTACCACTACTTTACTAAGTGGTGGGCCAAACTTTCTCTCTCTACACACTACTTTACCACTACTTTACCAAGTGGTGGGCCAAACTTTCTCTCTCTACACACTTTAATCACCTTTAATTAACCCCACTACTACATACCCCTTTAACTTTTGCCTCGTGAACCGCAATACACACCAAAGTTGCAATTAAAAAAAATCGGAGGGAGTAGAAGATTTTTTCCATCACGCGAGTAATGCATCGAGGAAAGGATCTTTACCTAAGATATGATTTTCTAGGTCACGAAATAAGTTATATCCCAAGGACTATAAAATGCAAACGTAATTCCAATTTTTTAGCAAACACAGATTTTTGAGAGATATTTCGAAAAGCTCAAAACCATCCTAGGAAACAGCTCATTAGTTTAACAACTGTTAGTGCACACGCCTTATTGTGGTTTAATTTGTATTGCCTCTTACCTTTGCTTTGAGTGAAAGCACTATTAAGGGATTTTTTTAGTGTTGTAATTGAATCACTAAGGGCCGGGTTAGTGATTGGGTAGTATTTGTGAGTTCAAGTGCGATTGCTTGTGAGTTCAAGTGCGAGCTGAGTGACACCTTGAGCTGGGTGTGAGCTGAGGATTGTTTAACTAGAGTAAGATGAATAATCATTGTAATTGCTTTTGTTTTTCTGAGTTGATTAATAAAAGTAATTAGGGTAGGGAAGCCATAGGCTCTAAGTTGAGATGACCCTCGATAAATCTCTGTGTTTTTATTTTTTCTCTTTGTGTTTTAATTTTCGTTGTGCAAGAAATAGCTTCTACTGGTTCCTTCTAATGGAGAAAATTAATATAATTTTGCTATATTCTACCATACTAAATTCAACCACCAATCCCCTTTTGAGTACCAGTAGCACTTTCGCAATGAGAGATGGTAATCACATATTGCTTAAATTGAACTTAAGTTTAGTACGAACATCAAGTTGATTAAGTTGAAGAAATATATATATTTTATTTTATTGAATCACAAATTAAAAGTTGTTATGCCCAAGGCTCACCTTTCCAAAAAAAATTATTAACAATTAATGAAATAAATAATTAAATGAATGAAAGTAATCATATTTAAGTTTACAAAAATAAATAAATAAATAAAAAAACACGAAGGTTAATAAAAGGTTGGGTTTAAAATTTACTTCCTTCGTTTTTATATACTTGCAACACACTATTCTAGCATGCACATTAATGAATATGTTAGGCTAGGTAAACGGACAAACTAATTGATAAAATTTTACCACCGGTTAGAAAAAGTAATAAGGTTCTACGGTTTAAATCTTACAGCTTATTTCGTTTGTTTACCTAGTCTAATCACTTCCTCAAATAGCGTGCAAAGAAGGTGTGTTGCAAGTATAAAAAAACAGAGAAAGTATTATTTGGTTTGAAATCATGTCGAATTCAAATCAAATTGGGTTAATATCATTTTGGGTTAAAACTTAGATTGAATAGGGTATTTGTCGAGTTATATTCAGGTCAGGTTAAACTAGTTTGGTTTGAGTTCAAGATTGATCAAATCGGTTTTGATTTAAGTTCAAGTCGGGTCAAATCGGTGTCGGGTTCAATTTAAATTGGGCCGAATTCAATTCGGATTTGGGTTGAGTTCAAATCGGTTACAGCTCGAGTTGGGGTCCCGAATTTCTCGAGTCAAATCAAGTCGGTTACAGATTGAAATAAATGATTTATTTTGAGTCAAGTCGAATTGGTTTTGACACCTCTATTTGGAAACTAAAGTCGTGAGGACTCTAACACGACTCCACATATTTATGTTTTCAAATACAAAAAGTCATTAAATATTAGATTTCATTTTTCATAGAATCTCTTAACAAGCATTGTAAACGAAAGGAGTAATAAAGTTTGTACCATCTCTAACCATCTGTATTGAAAAAGCCATGTTAGATAGAGGCAGGACTACAAATGTCAACCACGACAACAAAGGCATCATTCAGAAGAAAAAACCTTAGCTTCCAACTGATAAGCTTTAGTGAAAAAATTAGGCCAAGATAGATAAGTAGATATGATACAACTAACTGTGGAGGCTCCTAGTAACATGTTCATAACCACAATTTGTAGTTGAATGGCTTCCAAAGGTGATGCACCACCCATAATCATACCAGTCATTGCTCCTGGAAGAGAAATTAGCCCAACTGTTTTAGCATTGTCCAATACCGGGGAGAGGGCAATTACTAATGATCTTTTCACTTGTTCCACTGTTGCTTGACGTGGTGTTGCCCCAAGTGCTAATGCTGTCTCTACCTGTTTATAAATAGTGGGACAATAATTGTGAGATATTATAGGACGTATGAAGTTTTTTTTTTTAGATTTTTTTTTCTTTTGTTTACATAATTACTCTTTTCATCCTCAAATAAAAGTCAATTTCAGCTAAAAAAATACTACCTCCGTTAAATATTAGTTGTAACTTTGGGATATTATTTATGAGATATAAAATATTCCAAAGTTGAAACTAATATTTAATAAAGGTAGTAAATAAAACCTTTATTTCTAGATAAAAGTCTCATTCGTATTTATTGGACACTTTATTTACTTTTATAATCAACCAAATCTCACTATCTTATTTTAATACACACTTTTATTCAACGAAATTTACTATATTATTCATTATATTCACCTTTAATTAATCAATCTCATTATCTTACTTTTTTTAATTATTTATTGTTGAGACAAATCTTTGATAGAAAAGTTTAACAAATTTTTAAGCTTTGATATCATTGGAACTTTGTAGGAGATTACAAATATGCACTAGAAGTCTAGAAGTTGCAATCTTATGTACATGTGCAGATGATATCAACTATTACGCTAGACAGTCATGCAGTAAATTGGCTTACTAATCAAGGAGTCACTTAAAACATTAAGACTACATGTATTAGAAAGTGTTCCATCAGAATTTAGTCCTACAAAGTTAGAGGTGTGGCATTGTCACGGTTAGTCCCTCAATTTTGTTTTCATTTTCATTTTCGTTTTTTAATTTTTTTTTTATTTTTTGGATTTAGTTACTCATTTCATAAAAAAAAAAAACAAAAAAGGAAAGGGACAAAAAAAAAAAAAAAAAAAACCTACCAAGCTAATTTGGATCTTAATATCATCTCGAAGTCTCTTCATGGTAACACCAGTAGTAGTCATAGCATTGCCAACCATCATACCAGCAACAGGAATGATATACCTCGGTGTAAAAGGAAACACATTCAGTACTACTAATGTTAACATTGTCACTGCTGTTCCTATCAATATTGAAGCACCTGCCACATACTTCCCTCGTGGCACGTGCTTTGCACGCTGCCCTGCTGTGTATCCTGCCACACTTACCTGTTTAACAAACACACACCTATCATCACTTAACATAAATCAAATCATGTCATTACTTTACATAAATCTAATCATATCATCAACATTTTGGTTAATCACTTCATCTAAAATTTCATTATATAATTGAAGTAATCTTTTTGTGGACCGTGTAACAATAACCTCTGTTAATAAATGTTCTTCTCAATTCGACTACATGTGTGTATTTGTAATGCATTATTTTGACCATATATATTTAGCTGCGTATTAGTAAAAGAAAGATAATATTTCATAGTTGAATATAATTAAGATAATAAATGATTTATTAAGACCAAAAAAATTAAGACTGAACATGACTTTGCATGCTATGTTTTATATATAATCTAATAGATTTTTCATCTACTTTTATAAAATGTCAAGAATCTAATGAGAAAAACAAAGGAAGTAATAAATAATTAAAAAAAATCATGGAATTCTCATCTTTTATTCTTTTATCTACTACAAAACCATCTTTACTTTTAGCTTTAGATGATGTGTCTCTTGTGACAGAGTTGCATATGCATTTTAAACATGAATTTAAAAAAAAATAAAAAATAAAAAAAATAAAAAATAAAAAATAAAAAATAATTACACACTTTAAGATTTTCTAAGGTTGTGTTGGTTAGCAAAAATTTATTTTATAATTTCAACAATTCTAATGTAAAGTTCATTACATGAATTGTCACATACACAAAACACAACTAGGTAAACTGATAAGATTCAAACAAGTTATCAAAAGCTGATAATCAGCTAAAATTGATAGATTATCAAATTTTGATTTAATTAGCTAAGATATAAGCTCTATTAGCTGATAGGCACTTAGGCAGCTAACATGGGTAGCTGAAAGAACAAGACATTTATACGTCAGCTCCTCACAGCAAGCATCCATACAACTAGTTTGTCTTTTGCTAACAAGTCCAACTTGTATTACAGACTATATCACAAATGTCATTATGTTGATGGAGAAACTAATAAAATATTCCCCACTACCATATTCTAAAACTAGAAGATCCTGAAGATCTTTAATTATTTCTAATTGCAATTAATCTAATAAACTATCACTCTTTAACCAACTATGTCCTTAGTTTTTTAAATCAATTACATGTTAGTATAATTGACATGTTAGTATTTCCTCAAAAAAAAAAAAAAAATACATGTTAGTATGCTCCAAAATACGTCATCATGTAAACTGAGGAGAAAGGGGTACGAAATATGGATCCTCAAAGTGTCTCTATTGAGGTTAAAACATAGTTTGATAATTATTTTTTTGTTTATTGTCCAATCAGTTGAGGTTCTTTATTAGCCAGATATAGTTGATCATTAGGTGGAAATTTTAAAATATTTATAAACACGGTATAGATCAATTATAGGACTTTAATCATCACCTATTGTTTTTAATTAAGTGGCTGTTTGACATAATATCAAAAGTTCATCATCCTAACTTAACAAGAAGACCAAAAATTGGAAGGAAAAAAATTGTGTTAGAACAAAACTTAGTATGATAAATTACGTTTTATCCGAATAAGTTACACTTTAAAAAATTGTATTAGCACGAAACTTAGCACAACTATTTCATTATTATCCTAATATGTTATACTTTAAAAAATTATTGTTGTTAACAATAGTGGGGATCACATCCTCTCGTCGTGTCCTCATTATATGACATAGTGACTAGCTAAGCAAGTAAGGAAATGTTCAAAGTAAAATAATCTAACCAATAATTAGAGAGTGAGAAATAATGACTAACCATGAAAAGATAAGCAACAAGAATCCACAAAATATTGCTCTGAGTAAAGATGAACTGAAGAACAAAACCAATAATAGAAAGCTGAACAAAAGCTCGGAAAATGGAGTAGATCATCTCTCCTTCTAATTCCAGCTTCTGAAAATACGACAACACGACCGCCAACAGAACAACTGCCAACGCCGCAACGGGCTTCAGCATTCCTGTAAAGAAATCTAACCACCATGCTTGATCCATTATTGATCACTTATTACCCTCCTAAATATTTGCTCAAAATTACGTGTGTAATAATTTATCAAAGTAGATTTTTTTAAAAGAATAATGGTTGGAAATAGATTGAGAGGAGGATTTTATGTATGTGATAATTAGAAAAAGCCTACCTCAAATGAGATAGTGCACAAGTTTAACTGGTGTTGAATTATCTGGGACAGAAAAACTGGTGAAAAAGGCTAAATTCTTCCAAAAAGGTTGAAAGATTGATACTGGTGTTTGCATTATCATTTACTATCAATCAACTTTTAAGGCGTTTGTGAAAGTAACGTTACGGACGTGTACGACCACATACGAAATCCACTTGGCTGTTTAATTAGATTCTTAGAAATATTTTTTTAAATTAATTTTTTTTTGAACAGTTTTTTTATAATATCATATTAATTATTATTTGGTCACACCCATAGGCCCTCAAATAAAATATTTTATCAAAAATATATTTATCTGATAAACTTTGTGATTTTCGCTTGCTTTTTACTTGAATTTTTTTTACTATAAAATGAACTATTCATTTTGTTTCTCATATATAGATAAAATTCCTGATATAAAAAAGATAATATTTTAATTCACAAAGTTTCATATGTGGCTGGTCACAGCGTGTGGTTGGGATTACTTGATCAGGGGTTACACGGTTGGTCAATGATTATTCGATCGATCAAAGGTTACTCGGAATGGGTTACCCAACCAATCAATATTTTTGTGTGCCTCAACTGGCCACACGATATGGCCAGCCATAAAGAAAGTGCGCTGATTTTAGTTTTATAATAAATAAAAAAATTTAGAACTAAAATAAATTGCAATTCTTTTTTTCATTGGCTAAAATATAACATTTTCCTATGTGACGCTCTATCTCTAATTTGAAATTTCCATGACAAAAAAATTTTGAAAATTTCTAATTTCCCATCGTATGTTTACAAACAACAAAGAATTTCATTTTTTTGAGTTAACATTTTGTCCTTTTTATTTTCACTTTTGATTAATGGTCGAATATGCTAGCTCAATGATTGATATTTCTGTACTTAGCTTTGATCCCTTTAATTTCATTAATCATATATCTAAATAATAATATTCCTATATCAAAATAATAATATTGATATTCTTAATTTTTGTAAAAATTTATCATAATGTTGGTTCCATTAATCACCCAAATAAATCATTTAATTTTATTTATGATAATAAAATAATAATCTTATGTGTTGCTCTAATAATTTTGATTTTTTTATCGTAATCCTATGTAGCGTTTTAAAAACTAATCTTACGTGGCATAATCCTATTGTAGCGTTTTAAACATATTTATCCTATGTGGCATTTTTTTTTATTATAATCATAGGTAACGCTTTTAAAAAAAAACTAATCTTACGTGGCATAATCCTATTGTATCGTTTTAAAAATATTAATTCTACATGGCGCTCTAATAATTTTTTAAAAAATTAAAATCCAACGTGGCGCTCTAAAATCTTGGGAAAAAAATTCCCTTTTATAAAAATTAAAATCCTACGTGGTACTCTAAAATCTCGTGGAAAAAACCCCGTATATATATATACTAGTTTTGTGCCCGGACGATACTCAGGTTGTTTATTGAATTTTAAGATAAATCTCTTAGCTTGAATGTTAAATACAGTCATATAATCACTTTTGGTGACGCAAGATATTTAGAAATGCAATATCATGCTTAAATTATTTTTACGAAACTGAAAGTATTTTTCCTGATTAAAACTTATATTTATATTATTAATTATCTATTATTTTAAATATATTATAAATGGATCTTATTTTAAAGAACTTTTCAAAACGAATTTTATGATGGAAATAGAATCGAGTTATTAGATTTTTAATTAAAAGTTATGATAAAATTTTATATATGAAATATTAGTAGTGTATCGATAATAAAACTCTATGCAATATTTTTATCTTCAAAAATCTATCAAAATTTTGATTATTTACCATCATATGTGTCACAATAATATCTATTTGTCGCCTACGTGGCACGACACTTGGCAAAAAACTGGAATTCCAAGTGTCATTGTCTCGTGACCTAGCTGCGAGGCCAACTTTATTTGTTAGTGACTATTTGTGCCCTTTTTATAATGTAGGATATTTAGAAATACGATGTCATATCACTTATTTAATTAAGTAATAGTGTACTGTACTTTTTGTAGTTTATTTTGTGAATATTTATATTATTATTGACTTGAAATTATTTTTATTGAACTTAAATTGTTTTTTTTTACTAATTTTCTATTACTTTTTTTTGATAAATAAAATATATTATAAATGGATCTTATTTTACAGAACTTTTTAAAACGAATTTTATGATAGAAGTATAACCAATTTATATATATGATATTTATTAAAAGTTAGGATTAATTTTGTATATATGAAGTATTAGAAGTATATTGATAATAAAACTCTATACAACATTTTTATCTTAAAAAAAATTATCCAAAATTCACTTACTTAGTATCATATGTGTCACAATAATATCTATTTTTCGCCTACATGATGCGACACTTGGCGAAAATCTAAAATGCCAAGTGTCACTGTCTCGTGGAATGGCTGCGAGACCAGGGTTATATATTAGTGATATGATATGATATTAGACTAGATTAGATGAAGTAAAATGACCTATTTTTGAAATAAAATTTATACCACTAGATATATTTCATCAAATTCGTAATAGAAATAAAAATTTATAATATTTTTTTAAAAGTATATTAAATATCGTGATCTTATCCATTAATTATTAATTGTATAACACTTGAATTTAATAAATTGTAAACCTCTTTTTCGGTGGTTTATAATTAATTAGATTAAAATTCATATTAAGAGACATTCCCTCTATTTTTTTTAAAGGCATCAGTTTGACCGATACATTTTCCTAGATGTAAATTTAACCATTAATATCTTTAACTATCTATTAATAAAATTTGTTTAGTTAAAAATAAAAAAAAAATTCTATTAATAAAATTTGGAATAAAATTAAATTATAAAAATACACATTGTGACTAATCTAATGATATATTCTATTATAATCTTTACGTAATTTAAAGTAGAAAAAAAATTAAATCAAACATGAATAGTACAAAAATCAAAGTAATGCACTTTCAAAAATTAGGAGTTGTTTCAGGGTTTTTTTTATCCCTCAGGAGAGTTACGTCACCAAGATTGATTTCCCGCCGGCTGTACTTGGAAAACAACGGAAGCTCCGGGTGTTCGGAGTTCCGCCTCCGATGATCAAGTTAAAAAGTGTTCGAAGTGATGTAAAAAGTGCGAAAAGTAAAAGTGATATTCTCATATCGCGAGATCAAGTGTTTTCTCTAATGTGAGAGAATTAATTGTGTTGTAATAATTGAACATGTCTCCAAAATGGGGTAAATATCCCTATTTATAGGATCATAGGTAAATGTGCCCTTACCTAGGTCATTCTGACCTAGATTTGGTGGGCTGCGCCGCTTTGCGGCTTTCTCGGGAATTGGGCCCTGAAGGCCATCATTCCCTAATGAATATCTGTATGCCACGTATCAAGTCCAGGAGAGTCCATTTGGACCCCTTATTGAGTGACACATGTCACACTATTATTGGACAACGTGGCGGGGGTAAAACTCCCCAAATTATTTGCCCTTCACAGGGGTGATGTGCCATGCCACGTGACATCTGTGACAAGTGTCACACATGCATGGGTGGACAGTATTTTTACTCTTTACCTTCTGGAGTAAATGTCAGGGTTGCCCCTGAAACTTTTACCCCTCTATATATATGTTTTCACCCCCCTCATTTTCGCATATTCACGAAAAATATTTCGAGAGAAAATCTGACTTTTGAGAGAATTTGCTTATTACCCCTTGAGTTCAATTGCCTGCAGTACAAATGTCCGAAGAAGTTCCAACAGTACCTTCTATACAAGGTAACCGTCTGCTCCATCTCTTTCTTGTTCTTTAATTTTCCGTTTGTGTTTGTTATTCCTTGTTTTTCAAAATGGTTTCACAAACACATATGGCACGACCTAGGGTAGCTGTCAGCCGGTCACCAGGGACGGCTGAACCTAGGACTAGGAATGCCGCATGCCCCCACTTGGACTCCCCTCTGCAAACATCCCCGAATCCAACCGTCTCTGTGTCTGTGCAAGACACTATGGTCAGAACTAAGTGGATGGCCTAGGGCCCTATAGATGATGAGGAAGACGGTGACACTTTTAGGGTGCCAAGAGATGACTCCATCCTGAACGAGTGAGATGATGGGTTTGATAATAGTGCATCCGGTCTGAACAAGGGTCATCCCTGTCGGATGCTGTTTCAGGCGGTTCCAAAGATAGAATTGAGCTGCCTGTATCCCATGAAGAGCTAGAAAGCTCTGATTCTGCCTCTGACTCTGAGGAGGAGGTCGCCTCTCCTAAAAGAGGATAAGGGAAAGATTTTTCCTCTGCTCGAGAAGAATTCACTCCCTATTTCACCCATATCTCTGCTCGGACTCAAAGAAATATGTTAAAAAAGCTTGAAGAATTCTGAGACACCTATGTCATGGGGGTCGAATATGAAATTCATGTCCCTGACATGGACGATACAATCGTCTGGCCATTCAATCAAAGATATGGGGATCAATGCTTTGGCTGTTAAGAAGCAGCGATACAGGCGAGCTTAAGATTTCCCCTGGACAAGGACGTTGAGAAAACCCTGAACAGATACCGCCTGGGTGTTTGGCATCTTGCCCCTAATTCGTGGGTGAACGTTCTTGGGTACGTCGCCGCATGTAAGATGCAAGGGGTAAAATCGGGCTTCGAGGCCTTTGCGTCGATGCATTATTTGAGCAAGGCTCCTAAGGTAGCCGGCCCTGGGTGGTACACCTTGACTTGTCACAAAGGGTTCATGATGACCCTGGGCAAGGAGTCTAAGTGGTAGAAATGGTGAAACTGATTTTATATCATCTCCTCGCCAGATACCAGACGGTACCGGAAGTATAACACTTGGAACAGGAACCATACCTTCTAGGCCAGAAGGCGATCCTCCCGTCTGTTCTTGATGAAGGCTGGGATCAAATTTTGACGCCTTGCTTATTTAAGGTTGATAAGTGGTTTATTTGACCACTTATTGTGTAAATTTAAACCCGATTTTGCGATCATTTCCCCTCTTTCTAACCCAATTTTGAATGAAAATGTTTTGTCTCGGCTTTCCCCCCCTCTTGGTTTGTGTTTGTCCATGTTTTGCAGGTCTATGGACTCAATTAGGCA